TATATATATATATACTACCAGTAAATCTAACTTATTCTAGTTGTAAATCTATTCCTGACTTTAATGTCTCAAATCCGGCATAAATTGGGAGAAAATGTTTCGATCTTGGTCAGGTGTATAAGTTTAGCGCAAAGATAGTGTTTGATTATAATAAACTGCACCTCACATGTCAATGAGAAAAATAGTTGTTCAATCCATTATATGGGTGATTCTCACGAAATACGACAATTTGCTATCTCTTGCTCCCAAATCTAATTCTATACTACTAAAAGAACTATTTTTTTAAAGAAAAAAATTTATAAATAGCAAGCTGTTATTAATAAATAGCTTTGCATTAGCATTGACTGTTTTGTATATCTAAAAAATTTAATTGAATTTCAAAATGTCCTTTTCCTGACGTGTCACAAACAATATTTCCAATAATAACTAGCTTCAAAACTTCCCATAAATTTTTCAATATCCAATTTTTCTTTATCTCAACCGTTGTAAACATTTCTAGAATATATGCAGAGGGTATTATTTCCAAAAACTTTGTTGAAAATAATTTTTTCTGTCAATAATTTGTTTGTCACATGAAAATATGTTTTTTTTCTTGGCCACTTTTTCTTAATAATTTATAACCAAAATAGATAGCGTCAGCAATCTATATCTTAGGTTAAGAGATTGATTAGAATACCATCCTATCAGAACATGTCTTATTTAAGGAATAAAGAACCAACTTTCTGGTTCACAATCTATTTCAAAAAATTTTACAAGGTGAGTAATTTTTTATGATGCCATTTTCCTGTCTTCTTGAAATCATTAATAACATGAACTACATTTACCTGAGTTATTTCAAGAAATTCTGTTGTTTTCTGCGGAAAGTAAACTTCTTAGACTGAAATGTTAAATTAAAGTTAAATGCTGTAAAATGGCAAATTGTCATTATTCTTTCTGTCATTTTCCTATCTTATGAATGCCATCAGTTACCATAAAATTTTTTAAACAGTATAATGTAAAGTGGGAAAACAAATATTAACCTAATACCCAGTTTATGCAAGATTGTTATATGCTAGTATGTAATCAAAGTTATTTATTTATTTAATGACTGATTATTATACACAATTTTATTCTGTACAAATCAACAACAAAATCCTTTTTGATTCTTTCTATAGTGGATAAAAAGAATTAATTTAAGCAATTCATGGTCCGTCTAACGCAAAGGCTTTAGGTTCTTTTTTTTCAAAACACAGATAGTTAAAATATAAAGGATAAGCTAAAAACATCACTGTACAATTTAATTCTGTCATAGTCTTTAAACTCTACCTGGGTGTATAAGTTAAAGAATGTAATAAAGTTGTAAAATAAAATGATTTGAAATATTTTAAATTCAAATAATATAATAACAAACATTTCCGATGTAAATTATTATAAAATTAATTTTACAAGGTTATAGTAAAACATGGGGCCTAAAAACAATCAAGGAAAAATAAACTGAGAAAAAAAACGAGATGCCGAGAAGAAACGGTAATTTCAAATTGTTCACAATAATTAATTTTGGAATTTATGTACATAAAAAATAAAAATTAACTTTCCAACTTTTTACCAAATTTTGACGAGCGTGAGTTGGTCAAAAAAGTATTATGCTAATTGATACAAAGATTAGTTAATCTATATTTTGATAGGATGAACTTCTGAAAACGTATTTTGCTTATTCTAATAACGTTAAGACAAAGGGAAGGAAAACAAATTACAATATATAGAAAAAAAGTCGATTTCATCTGTCAGCTTTGTGAATGATTGCGTTGATAAATACCTATTTTGTGATAATCTACTTTTCTTTTTATCCCCAACGAAAAACGGGTATTGAGTTAATTAAACAATTTTTAAGGTTCAAAACACGTAGAATAACATTAAAATAAATACGCATGTTATTATTTGTTATGAGATTTACAGTTTCACTTAAAACAAGTACAGTGCACTCCCGATTATCCGGGTTAATCACCGGGACAGGTCGCACGGACAATCGAAAAACTCGGATAATCCGAAAACTCATTTTATTAAAGAAAAAATCAATATCAATACAAAAATATTAAAAATTACTGACATTTGCTTGCTGTATAACAAACTAGGAATTTTCCTTTTAAAAAAATGTATAATGCGCCATATATTGTCGCATATTTTACGAACCGCATTAATGTCACCGTAATCAAATACTCCCATATAAACTAATAAAGTTTCCACAGAGCAGCAGAATGAGAAATTGTATTTCCCTCATTTACTACATCTTCTGCATCAGCTACTATCATCATTATTTGATTTAACAACATAACGATGTCTTCATCTGTCAAATACTGGAAGCCAGGCTCACATGCATCACTTTGAAACCAATCTTCTAAATTTTCTTCATCAAAAATTATCAAAAATTTCGAAACCTTCGATTTCTTTTGCCTGTTCAAGAATGCTATTATCATATTCTTCTTGGAGATCTGAAGAAGATAGTTTAACAAGAGGTATCATCTTTCTCCATGATCGCGATGACGTAGACGATTTTACCTTTAACCATGCTTCTGATATTCCATATACTGCAATCCAATAACGAAAATTTTTCCAAAAATTGGGTAGTGTTATAATTTCATAAATTAAATTTTTTTAATCTTGAAAATGTTTCTCTTTAAATTTTTTGATGACTCCGGAAGGAGCACGGATAATCCACGCACGGATAATCGAGAGTGTACTGTAATATTAAAAAATTAAAGCCAAATCCTACTCAGGTCAAGGAAGAAAATTTTTATTTTCGTTACTTTTTATCAGATAATTTATTTCCTTCTCCCATATAAAACTAAAATTAATTAAATAAATTTATTGAATGAATTAATATTTGAAAAATCTGTATTAACATCAAGTGTCACATGTTGAAAAAGTATGTATTTGAATTTGAGTGGATGAATAAAAAGTATTTAATGAACGATTGAAGATTTGAACAAGATATTTAAATATACGAGAGTGTGAACTAATTGTAGGAATTGAAAAAAAAATGGCGCCTGGTATCAGACAACAATAGTAGAAGTATACATTTGATGACGTGGCCCACACGTGCTGCCACGTCATGTTCTTCATTGAATTGATCTGACACAGCGAATAAAAAATAATTAAATATTTAAATGTGAGCAATAAACTATTTTTTTGTTCCCAGAGAGCTATAATTTGGAAATTATCACTGATGTTATTTTTAAAATATGAGAGAAACTAAATCGCTTGTAGTAAAATCTAATACAATGAGCTTAACCCATCAGAAAATTCCATTTCGTTTTTCGCTTATCCCTATTTAATGAATAAATTAATAGTTAAAAAAATTGTATTAACATCAAGTGTCACCCACTATAACTTTAAAAAAATGTATTTGAACTTGAATTAAATAATAAAAAGCATTTTATTAACGATTGAAAATTTGAAAAAGATATAGGCAGAGTGTGAACTAATTAGTTGAAATTGAAAAACAAGTTTTTTCCTTTCTTTTTTAAAATTCCCAGTAATGTCGTTGTTTTAATAAATGAAATAAATTACCTGTAACTGTATAGCTGACTAATCCCAGCACAATTGCGAGTTCCTTCCACATTTTAACTGTGAGTGCTGGATATACAAAGAAGAATTACTTGATTTTTATTAACTGATTAACATCAAAGAATAAATAGCTTCGCGCATTTGCCCATATTATTGTATTGATCTGTGGAAGCTGATTGTGTGGCCCATAAAATATGCTTATAAAAATTTTTTTCTACATTTACAAAAAACCAGTGTATGTTTTGAGTACAGTTAATCTTCAGCAATGTAATTTTTAACCATTTATGTTCTTATTTATATTTTTCAGCAAGGAACGTAGGAATTAAAGTTATGTTTAAATTAGATAATTTTAGCTACCACTTTAGTTTAGACAAAGCACGTTTAGAGAATTTTTTATCTGCCACTACAAAAAATTGAGATTTTTTTTTCTTTTTCATAACGTTACATGTCATAAATATTTTTCGATTCGCAAAAAAACTGTTTAAACGCTTATCTATTAAAAAGTTTTTTCGGTAGGTAGGTACTGCACTAGAGTTGCACAATGGGCTATTGGCGACGGTCTGAGAAACATCCCTAAGGATGATTCGAAGACATGCCATTGCAATTTTGATCCTCTGCAAAAGGGATGGCTCTTCTGCTTTGGTTGCCCTACGACTTGCGCACGAAGTCTAGCACTTTACGATAGAACAGTTTAATGAGGACTGATATCGTGCACCCTCGGTCCTTACGCAGGCTGATCAAAGTGATCACCCCCCGCTTACCCGTGTCTTCACAATCAGTCCACTGCGGAACCAATTTATATATATAAAAAATCATGTTGTGTCCATTTTTAGACATAAGAGTACGTGTCTGAAAAAAATAATTACTGTTTTGCTAATAGCTTTTGCTAAATTGAATTACGCTGCTTAAGAACTATATTCGACTTTGACATAATATAACACAAAATTGAATTAAAAGTTGAATAAAAAAATCATATCACTCGGTCTTTCTTGGAACTCTGAATGCATACGCAATTTTAAAATCTTTTTAGTTGTGAGGAAATAATTTATAAAAAAGGTTTCAAATTCCTTAAAGCAATTATGTAAATCAACACGTGGAGTCGCGTAAATAGAAAAGGGAATAGAAGAAGGATTAGATTTAATGTAGAACGCATAATCAATTCAGAACTTTACTATTTTTTATGCTGCGTATGTAAACTGGTGTCGAATGTTTTTGCTGAATCAGAAAGGTAATTCAAAATGTCATAAAATGCTGATTTTTATCGATTTATAGCTCTTTGTAACAATAAAAACTTTAAGCTTTCGAATTTTTTATTATTATTTTTTGTTCGGTTCTTTTTTTTATTCCGTTGACCTTCTTTCATATTATTAAATACTAAATCATGTAATCATTAATGTCATAGGGATAAATAAACTGTAATCCTATATTACTTGTACAGCTTGAAAAGATAATTTAATGGTACACACTAACATCCATTTAAGGGGGGGGAGGCAGGAAAACACGTGCTATTGAAAACTTTTTTCTTTACATTTCCCAAGAATAGCGATAGGATAGAGCTCTCGTCTCCCAATAAGGTGCCCCAGGTTCGAATCCCAAAAGTTGACTGGTTGATACGAATTTTGCTCCCAGCTCGCACCGATCACAATGCTGACGTAAAATACCCTTAACGGTAGACGATAATGGGTTAGAATCACCTTGCCTTTCGGGCAAACTCTGGGAGATTTCTGCGTCTTTCCTATCTATGTAATGAAAATGAGGTTTAGTTTCATCAAGAAGACCGCCACAGAAACTAGTTTGCCTCAGTGATTGATCCAGGAGTTCCCTTGTCTTCTGGATTGCGTATAAAGTTACAAGGCTACTGAGGTGAACGTTGATAGTCATAAACTCAGAATTAGATCGGCTATTCAAAACCGATTATAAAATAAAATAAAACCGCTAAAGTGTTCAGAAGCTCGGTATCTCTGAGAATAGAGCGTTTACGTCTCAATAAATGTGAAACAGGTTCGAATTCCAGAGATGGCTGGTCAATACGAATTCTGCACCTGGCTCACTCCGACCATAGTGCTAAAGTAAAATATGATTTGTTAGGTTAGGATTTCCTTGACGTTGGTTGACCATGGGAGGTTTTCGATATTACCTTCCCAGTGTAAAGCATTCAATTTTCTTCTCTATGTAATTTCCATTAAAAAGTATTCCACGACGGAGGCTGTTTTGATCCCAGAGTGCCCCTGTCTTTTGTGTTGGGTTTGAAATTACAAAGCTAGTTAGTTAACCATTGATAGTGTTCAACTCAAAAATGTGTCGTCTGTTCAGCTCCGGCTATAAAACAAAATGGAATAAAATACTTTCATTTAGGTCATTTTAGACTTATTGCTGTTTTTTTTTTTATTAAACAAATGGGTAATGAATCAATATTTACATTGTCAACATGGTTTGTCGCTCTATTAACGCATTAGCAAAATGTATTGAATTGTGGATGTTTAAGAAAAAATTGATGAATGAGAGCCACAAAATGTTAACAAAAAGTGTTGTTTCGTTGATTTAAAAGGCAATATTTCACTATAATAAATAATAAAAGGGGAAAAGTTTTCAAAGTCTCCGTTTTTATATAGTGAAACGCAATATTCTACTGTCACGCATAAAAAGAAGAGAAAAAAAATAAACGAATAAAACATTTTATAGTTCTGATACTCTTTTGTGTACTTTTTTTTCACGCAATATTTAATTGCTTTGTTAAGATTAAATTTTATTTGTTTGTTGTACCAGCAAATTTTGATCGGGTTTTTAATATGTTAACGAAAACGAATGAAAATCAATTGAATTTCTAAGAGACTAATAACTTATTAAGACTATACATTTTTAATAGGTGTGATTATTAGGTCAAACAGTGTACTGGTCTAGTTTATTTACTCATTTTTACTACTGTGTAAAGTAAACATTTGTGGAGTTTACTGTGTGAGAGTAATTATATTTCAGATAAAAATATTTCGATTTATTTATAGGTTTCTCACAAAGAAAACAATCTAGATGTTTAAATTGTAATGATAGATTGAAAACAAAGTTTCTACTTAACCCACGTATTTAACCTGTACTGTGCTGACTGTTATGTAATAAACTGTGAAATAATAGCTGTTATTATATTTGTTACATAAAGAGCCCTATAAATCATTCGATAAGGCTGCAGCAGTTTTATTGAAATTAGGAAAACAAGTTGAGAGAAAAACATAGAAAACACCTAAAGTGCAAAAATAAAACTAAATTTGAAAAATTAAATATTTTAACAAAGTTGCATTCTATCCATTTTCAATATGATAGCTATTATTGAAGTAAAGTAAAGCTATTCCAGAATAGGTAAATATTTATTCGAAAATAATATTTTTTTACGTAATATTAGTATTATAACAATTATTTTTTAAATAGTAAAATTCAACCAAATGTTGTTCAGAGAAGAAAGACAGAAAATGCATTTCTAAAATGTAATTAGGAATGTGAAAAATAGTATAATTTTATTCAAGTCAATAATTAATTCAATCCAAATTACTTGTATGAGAGAATAATAAACATTTTATGTAATGAAGTGTTTTAAAAATGACGAGTCAAAAGAGTTCTCACCAGATCTTTTTAACTTTTCAGTTGAATCTGTCCGTTGCACAACCGCTCCATTTGTAAACTATTGCGAGTTTAAACATTTTGTTTTACTCTTTCGGGAGTGTTGATATTAAATCTATTTTAGTCCGGTGTTTGACAGTTCAAAATCTCTCATTAGTTTTTAGGTAATTTGTAGTCATTTTGTTTGCTTTTCAATGTATGCTGTCTAAACACTCGATCAAGTTGGACAACTCTTATGTTATAGCGCTTTCACCAGAAGTTGACACTTGGCTCCGTCTTCAGCAGTATATTATCCGACGATACGATTTCCCTATTTTAGGGAGAAGGATGTGAACAATTCTGAACAAGGCTGCTACTTGGCGATCGTATGACAAAAATATTTTTTTCGCAATTCCATTTTTAAGAACTTAATATTTCTTAAATGCCGATATATTTCAAGTTATTATTAGAAGCATCTCTAGTTATATTTAGTATCTTACAGCAACATCATTAATATAATACACCATAATTATTTTATTTTAATGTGATCGTAAATTAAAATTCGCCTAAAACTACTAAATTTTAAGAAAATCGCACACAAAAACTAAAACAATTAAAAAATCGTATGTAAAGATATGTTTGACAGCATTAGATTTGACAACTTAGAAATGCTTAACAAAAATAAAAATATAAATCATCATAAACATGACGTACTACTTACAAAAATTATTATTAAGATTTTTTTCAGTAAAATAAATAGGATATGTAAAAAAAAAGAAGTATTTTTCCTAATAATGAAGAAATCTGGTTTAAATTTCATTAATAAAAAATATTATTTAATAAAAAAAAAATTTCAATGTATCGATTTTAGAAAATTAAATATCAATTAGAAACTTATCTGAATTGTTTGATTATGTTATAGCTTATTTATATTTTTTAAAAAATTTGAACTAAAATACTTAGCATTTACTTTGCTTTTAAAAACGAACCCTGTTGTTACATATTTTCCTGGTGTAGGAAAGCCTACACCAGGTTCAAAAACCCTGTAGTCAAATAAACGTAGCAAGAATATATGACTTATCTACGAGGTAAAAGATTAAATTAAATTTCATCTTCAAAACTATCGCTATCAGAATCGCTTTCAGTGTCAGAATCAGAATGGATGGAAAAAGAAATATTTTCCGCAACTACTTCGACAATTCCGTCGGTTTTCCAATAAGTTTTTTTCCCTCTATGTTTTCAATATATGTGCAAAGCCGGGATAGCCTGGTCGGTAGGGCGTTGGGCCCATGTCCGAGAGTTCGCGGGTTCGAACCTCACCGGTCGAAGACTCCCCGTGTAGTAAATGATGACTGCTGCACGTCAAATCTGTCGAGTCGCTAAGTCCTCCATGTTCCCACAACAAATCAATACCTCTGTTAGTACAGGATTGGAGATCGATCGTTCTCTGATTCAGTCCAAAATTACGATCTGTGGATGAATGAATGGGTGTATGAATGGGTCCTCCCTATAAACGGGAGCGACGAATGG